TGTGAAATGGTGACGAGATGGCAAAGCATAACGCTTGTCCAGAGTATTTATCAGCTCCATTGTGCGGCTACATCATAGGTCTGTTGTGGTGGCGAAGTACTACTTCGCTCTCAACCGTGCTTATAGGGCACATGTCTTTGGCTAAAAAGTATGCAATGGCATCTGTTATTTTTTGTGCCTTTCTGAGCTGGATGGATACGGAGTTGCACTGAAGAGCGTGTCTTTAATTGATGACTGTGTTGCGGAGGATGTTTGTCCTTCTTTCTGTTTGTCCTTCTTTCTGTTTGTTTATTAGTTGGTCATATGTCGGTCTGTGTTTGAATTTTAAATGGTTGAAAAGATTTGTGGTGTTACCAGCCAGTGCCGACACAACCGCGGCGCAAATTCTGCATGTGCTATGTTTTTAATGCAAAATGTTCCCAGACAACAGAATTTCTTCTACCTTTTTTGTTGACCAAAGACTTCTGTGGCTGCTCTTTTTCTGGCATCTTCCCTCGCGCTGATTTTTAAATGCGATCAGATATGACATACGCAAGGGGAAGGGTGAAAGCGAAAGTGCGGATGCGCGAACGCAGGCCAAATTAACTTTAAAAAAACTGAATAATCGTTTTTTCTCGATTACACCATTTTTGTGATCGTTGAGCCCTGAAATCGAAATCGAAAATTCGATTAATTGCACAGCCCTAGCTGGAAGTTTACCCAGTATTGCTTTATAAATGGAGAAAAAAAAAAATACCAGTGTTGTTGTCTACAAAGGGTCAGTGATGTCCATCCCACCAACTCATAAAGAATGTAGTGCATCAAGGATTTGTAAAATAGAGGAGGCTGCATGCACATATAATATATCATCATAAATCAGTTACAGGGAGAAAAGTAATTTTATTTCTAAAATAAAAGCCAATCTGAACTTTAAAATTCCTAACTAGATTAACTATATGCACATTTGAGGGAAAAAAAAGCTTATCTGTCCACATCTCCAGGTACATGAAGGAGGGCACTCTTTCAGTTGATTTTCATCAGATGTGAGAATGCTACAATTATCAAGCAACTGTGGATGTGCTTTTGAGAGGATGATGAACTTTGTTGCTTGAGTATTTAAAGGCAATTTTAAACTCAGAGTCATTTGTAAATACTGAAATGCAGTCTGAAGGTCTTGGACCGCCTGCGCTAAAGATGAAGAATGTGTGCAAATAATGTCATCAGCAGACAGGTGTATTTTTGCTTGAATATCCTTACCTAAATCACTTAAATCACAAAACTAGAAAACAAAACTGATCCCAAAATGGAACCCTGAGGGAGAACTTTGGTTATCCAAAGAAAATCAGATTTATGCCCTTCTGCTTAAACACACTGGGTTTGACCTATAAGATAATTCTGGAACAATTTCATAGCATTGGGATTGAAATCAACATCCCCAATACTTGCATTCCCATAAGAACACTGATGCAGTCAATGGTGTAATCTTCATCTTCCTCTTCATGTTGACTATAAAGAAAATCTAAATCAAGTTTCTTCCAAAATGACTGATTTCAGTACAAAATTTCCTCATTTTAAATGAGCATTACAAGCAGCAACTCCTCTGATATACATTTACATATGCAAGTACAGTATTAACACAAACTTGAAAAAATCTTCACCTATCCTTTAAATCACTACTAAATATAATCACACAGATTAGTGTTGAGGTCTTGTTTCAGAGACATCACAGACTGGACCTTCTCAGGGTTTTCACTGATCATACTTTGCTCAGTATACTGGACATCTGAATGTAGCCATCCTTTCAGTTCAGACTCACCCTGTGCAGCGTTTACTCTTGTCAGTCTCCCATCAGGTCTAATGAGTGTCTGTCCCCTCAGCAGCATCTGGGTGCATGCAGGTGTCTGAGCTGGTCCTTTGGGCCGGAGGTTTCTGCAGGTCTCCTCACCAGTGCATATTTTGCCCATCACAGCCTTGGCACCGTTAAAGAGCAACGTCTTTGTTTTTTCTGCCAGGGGAAATGACAAATTATGAGTGAAAATACATGTCACTAACTCAGCTGACCAAAACAGTGTAATGTTAACAGCAACACCAACTGCTGAGAGAATATTAACTGTACAGTACACTAGCCGTCTTATGAACACGAATACGTGCAAGAAAAGCCAACAAGCAAAACATACGAAGCTAACATCAGCTAACACTGCAACGCAGTGGTATATCGGCTAACATTTACTTACCATAAATTTCATGCCTGCATTTGTTACCAAACACGCCATAATTCCTCAGTTCCTGCTGTCCGATATGCATTTTGTACTGCGATGAGAATGTTTCTGGAAACGGACACGGTCGTTTCGTCATTTTAACTGCTAAAAGTCCCGTCTTCCTCCTGCTAGCTTCCACACTTATTTGTTGCGGGGGGGAAAGTGTAAACGAAGCAGCAAGGAACCAATCAAACGCGTAATTTACTGTCACGTGAAAGCTCAAAGCCAATCCGACAGCTGCTGTTGTCACGTGCTGTTGTTCTCTATAAAGCTTAGGGGTACACATTATTGCTGCCTTCACGGGCTGTGGAGAATTTGGGATATTCCTTCTGTTCCTTTTTCTTACAGAATTAAAAAAGATGATTCAATTATTTTAATTAGTTACACAGTCACAATACTCTATGGAAGCCCATTCCCGCCAGTTAAATGAGAAATAAAACGCTCTAAGTCGTTATTTCTACTTAGCTAAGTCGAAATTTCGACTTAGGGAAGTGTAAATAGGAATTCCGACATATCTAAGTCGGAATTCCGACTTAGATATGTCGGAATTCCTATTTACACTTCCCTAAGTCGAAATTTCGACTTAGGGAAGTGTAAATAGGAATTCCGACATATCTAAGTCGGAATTCCGACTTAGATATGTCGGAATTCCTATTTACACTTCCCTAAGTCGAAATTTCGACTTAGGGAAGTGTAAATAGGAATTCCGACATATCTAAGTCGGAATTCCGACTTAGATATGTCGGAATTCCTATTTACACTTCCCTAAGTCGAAATTTCGACTTAGGGAAGTGTAAATAGGAATTCCGACATATCTAAGTCGGAATTCCGACTTAGATATGTCGGAATTCCTACTTAGCTAAGTAGAAATAACGACTTAGAGCGTTTTATTTCTCATTTAACTGGCGGGAATGGGCTTCCATACAATACACACATATCTGCTAATGTATAGTTTATGGACTATTGCATCCAGTGATCATTTTTACTTTGCAGACAAGCTGACACAGAGTGCCCATCATGACTGTATAAACTTTTATTTGAAAACATTTGTACTGGCATAATCGGTAACACTGCTGTAGATTGACATTTGTGATACAATTAAATCCAATAATCGTAAGAATAAAAGAACAAATATAGTCAAGACTACTCAAAGGCTACATATAAGTATTTTTCTAATTAACTAAGAGGGGAAACAATAATTTAAACTAGTGATAAATCATGCTTCCTTTAAGTGGAGATAAAGGTGCCCTTTTAGAACATCTGGATCATGCACTCTCTGGATTTTCCAACACCAACCCACTTGACTAAAGAGAGAAAAAGAGAAAGAGAAAGATTAGAAAAGTAGACAAAAATGTAGGAATCACAACCAAGGCTGTTTCTGGTAAGTGAAACAGTACCACCTAATGGATATCATGCAATTATGCATTAGGTTTTTTTGTTTGTTTGTTTTTTGGAGGCCTTCAGGGGAAGTGTTGTCTTTAGTTCCTTTTACATTCAATGCTGTGTTCTGCAAAGTAAAATTACAATATACAAGTTAATTTTTTGTGTGTTAAACATACTGGGAACTCCAATGTGGTTCTCAATAAAGCGGATGTAGTTTTGTGCCTTGGTTGGGAGGTCATTCCACTTCCTGGCTGCAGACGTGTCTGTCTTCCAACCAGGGAAAGTCTCATACTCAACTTCCACTTTGTGTAAAACATCCATGTTGGCTATCATTAAAAGAAAGTAGTCATTACCAAGCTTTAAATCAGTTTTAGGTCTTGCAATTCACATGAATATCAAAGAAATCATATGGGTTTGTAAGTCTACATTTAGTTTCTTCTGTGAAATACCTGGGAAATGTAGAATTCTTTTTTCATTGAGTCTGTAGGCAATTCCAACTTTAATTTCATCCAGCACATCCAGAATGTCAAGTTTTGTTAAAGCAATGCTGCAGGGATAGTAAAGTAACAAGTCATAAATGAACTGTTTTAACATGTGCTATTTCTTATTCTATATTAGTGTAAAAAAAATGTTTTTCTGTAGGGTAATGTGTGTTTCAATATTAAAAATGTAACCAAAGAAACACTTTATGATTTTCTTAAAGTCCTCTAGTCACTCACGCAGTGAAGCCATTAATCATATGTGCATATCTGACAATGACAAGATCCAACCAGCCACAACGTCGCTTCCTTCCTGTGGTTACACCGACCTCATGACCCCTTGTCTGCAACAGCTCCCCTACTGCCTACAGTAAACAGGAAAAAAAATCCTTACCTGTTACTCGTTTATTCATAAATGACATCAGGTATTTAATAAATCCAACAGGAATCTGTAAACTAAGCAGTCCCTAGTTATATACAATGGCAAGAAATAGTATGTGAACCTTTTAGAATTTCATGGTTTTCTGCATGAATTTGTCATAAATTGTGATCTGATCGTCATCTAAGTCAAGAGTACTGGCAAATGTAATTTGCCTACAAAAACAACACAATTTTTTTTTTATCTTTCATGTCTTTATTGAAGACACTCATTCAACATGGTAGTGGAAAAGCTAAGTGCACCTCTGGAATTGATAACTGGTTGGCCCCCAGGCAGCAATATCAACCAGGTGCTTCCTGTAGCTGTGGATCAGACCTGCACATTGTTCAAGGGGAATTTTAGCCCATTCTTCCTGGCAGAACTGCTTTAACTCCGTCATATTCTTTGGACATCTCCCGTGTATGGCTCTCTTCAAGTCTGTAGTGGACTTGCTCTGGTGTTTTGGGTCATTGTCCTGTCGCATCACCCAACTTCTACAAAGTTTCAGCTGATGTACAGACATTCTCACATTATTCTGAAGAATTTTTTGGTAAACTTGGGAATTCATCTTCCCCTCAGTGATTGCAAGCTGGCCAGGCCCTGATGCAGCAAAGCAGGCCCAAATCATGATGTTTCCTCTATCATACTTTACGGTTGGGATGATGTTTTCATCATGATACGCAGTGCCCTTTTCACGCCAGATGTAGTGCTGCGTGTTCTTTCCAAATAGTTCAATCTTAGTTTCATCAGTCCACAAAATGTTTTGCCAATACCACTGTGGAGTTTCAATATGCTCTTTCACAAACTAGCAACAATGTTTTTTTTAGTAAGCAGCGGCTTCCTTCATGGTGTCCCGCCATACACACCCTGCTTGTTCAATGTTTTACGTACTGTAGACTCATGAACATGGATGTTATGCAGTTCCAATGATGCCTTCAAATCTTTGGCTGTCACTCGAGGTTGTTTCTTTACCTCATTGATGAGTCCTTATTGTGCTCTTGGGGTCATTTTGACTGGGCGCCCACTTCTTGGTAGAGTAGCCACAGTCCCAGCGTGTCTCCATTTGTAGATCATTTGCCTAACTGTAGACTGGTGAATTTCTAAAGTCTTTGAAATCACTTTGAAAGCCTTTCCAGCTTCATGTAAATCAACAATTTTTGATCGTAGATCTTCTGAGAGCTCTTTTTGGCAAGGCATGGCTCACATAAGCATATTCTTCTTGTGTGGAGCAAACTCAAAAGGTTTGAGTGTTTTTATCTGTCAAAGTAGCTCTAGTCCACACTTCCAAACTCATTTTATTAACAAGACTCCAGGTATGCTAACACCTGACTCCAATTAGCTTTTTGAGGTCATTAACTCAAGGGTTCACATACATTTTCCACTAGCACTATGAAGTTTTTATGGTTGTTCTCAATAAAGACATGAAAGATCAGAATTTTTTTGTGTTGTAATATTAGGCACATTATATTCATCAGTACTCTTGACTTAGATGAAGATCGGATCACATTTTATGACAAATTAATGCAGAAATCCATGAAATTCCAAAAGGTTCACATACTTTTTTTCAGTGTAAACAGTTGTGTACAATAAAACATCACATGGACTGGGAGATAACCAGTCCATTTACCATAACCATTTTAACCTTTTGACCTATTACCCTATGGTCAGTTCCCGTGACAAGTAACATAACCCCACCTCGCACAGTAAATACATCCTGAACCCAGACTCTGACCCTAAATTTATCTCTGTGAACATGTGACCTGCATAAGAGTTGAAGAGTGTTTTCAAAATTTAACAGCTGCACTTAGCCAACAACCCCCCCCCCCAAAAAAATCCCCTCCGCCAGCCCTGCTGCTTGTGTGTCAGAAACAAACTGTAGCTACATGCCTAGCTCAGTATTAGGAAGTTACATAACGTCTTGTGTGTCTCTTCTTCAGGCAGTAAAATGGCAGGTGAAGCAAAGAAGACCTACGACAATGTGTGTTTACATGTCTTATTAACTGTGGCAATTTATTTGAGTGACATCAAGTCCTTACATTGAGTTGTTCTGTGGGGAAGACTCCAATTCCAACTCTGGTGGTGTAGGCCTTTGTTACACCAAACACATCACCAATATTCAGAGGAGGAATGCCAAGACCAGTGCATGCCCCACCCACAGTGCAGTTTGATGATGTCACAAAAGGATATGTTCCTAAAGAGAAAAATACTAAATGTTACTACAATCACAGATGTCTTTTCAGGTCCACAAAAGCACACATACAGTTCAGAAAGTTACAAATATAGCAAAACTAATTCTTTTTATTGTTGCTGACAATACCAAAGTCAATGTCAAGCAGAGCAGCATTGGCCCCTTCAACCAGAATTTTTTTTGGAGGTCCATGAAGAGCTTCGTACATGTAATAGACCCCATCTCTCACCATTGGCCGCAATCTCTCAGCGTATTCCTGCAAAAAAACACAAAAAGGGAAACCTGTGTTGTTGTTGGGTGATGACAATAAATCATTATTTAATAGTCAGTGTTATTACTCTCCACCTTGAGTTTTTTCAGTTGGTCCTCAACATCAACTGTCAAGGATGGATACATGGCTTGATACTGCCGGACAAGGTTTTTGAATCTGAAAGAAAAAGAATCATGTCACAACTGTGCATGAGAGTGTTGTAACCTGTTTTCCTTGTATTTTCTCTACCTGGTGGAAAAGTCCTTAAAGTCACCTAGGAGGTCGCACACACGTAGTCCAGTGCGAGATGCTTTGCTAGAATATGCAGGTCCAATGCCCTTCTTGGTTGTTCCAATGCTGTAATAATGAAACACGAGCCAAGGGAAGCGATGTTAAATAATGTGTGAAATGAATGTAGATTTGTGCTGATTGTAGTATACTGTGGTGTGTTATCTTTGGGTAAAATTGTGCGAGGT